ATTTAAGTAACCTCTACACCCAACGTGGGGCTCGAACTCATGACCCCAAGATCAAGAGTCACATGCTCTTCTGACTGAGCCAGCCAGGCGCCCCACATATGATGTATCTTTTTGTTCCGCATCATGATTGTGCTATTCTTGGCACATTCCTTGTGTGACTTTCTTCCACCAAGTGCTCTGTGTTTAGATCTGTCCATGTTGTTCCGCGGACATGGAATACATGGTTTATAACTGCAGCCAGATTCTTGTAGATCACCTCCCCCGCCAGCCGTGTCTGAGGTATTTACCTGCCAGTGACAGACCCCGCCTTGCCACCACTGTGTTCCATCACAGGAGCATTGGTGAACACCGTCCTGCACATTTGCCCACGGAGCTGTGCACAGTTCGTTTGAAATTTACGTCTCAGAGCAGAATTGCTGGCTCTTAAGGTATTTGCTTACCTTTTTAAAAATTATTTATTTATTTTGAGAGGGAGAGTGGGAGAGGGACAGAGAGAGAGGGAGAGAGAGAGAATCTTAAGCAGGCTCCACTCCCAGGGCAAAGCCCAATGTGGGGCTCGATCCCACAATCCTGGGATCATGACCTGAGCTGAAATCAAGAGTCGGATGCTGAATTGACTGAGCCATCCAGGCGCCCCTTGTGTACCTAGTGTGACTAAGTAATACCAAGTATGTTCCCAGAGCACCGCTGTCACTCATACCTGCAGTCTTTCAGCCAGAAAGTGACATCTTTTTATTTTGAGTTTTTAAATTACTATTTTAGGGGCGCCCGGGTGGCTCCGTCAGCTCAGCGTCCGACTCCTGATTTCAGCTCAGGTCATGATCTCATGAGTTTGAGCCCCGCGTCGGCCCCTGTGCTGACAGCTCAGAGCCTGGAGCCTGTTTCTGATTCTGTGTCTCCCTCTCTGCTTCTCCTCTGCTCGCACTCTGTCTCTTAAAAATGAATAAACAGGGGCGCCTGGGTGGCGCAGTCGGTTGAGCGTCCGACTTCAGCCAGGTCACGATCTCGCGGTCCGTGAGTTCGAGCCCCGCGTCAGGCTCTGGGCTGATGGCTCAGAGCCTGGAGCCTGTTTCCGATTCTGTGTCTCCCTCTCTCTCTGCCCCTCCCCCATTCATGCTCCGTCTCTCTCTGTCCCAAAAATAAATAAAATAAACGTTGAAAAAAAAAATGAATAAACATTTTTTAAAAATAAAAAAAAAAAAACCAGCCGTAGACCGTAGACAATATATAAACAAAGAGTCATGGCTGTGTTCCAATAAAACTTCCTTTACAGACACAGAAGGGGGTCCAGAATTTGGCCTGCGGGCCATCATTTGCCAATCCCTGATGTAGTGAGTCAGCCTCCCCAGTACACTCTATGTGTTTTCCCCTTCACAGTGACTCTATGAGATAGATGCTATTTTTATCCCCATTTTACAGATAAGGAAACTGAGGCACCGAGAAATTAAGTAACTTGAGAAAGGTCACTTGGCTGGTAAGTGGCAGAGCCAGGATTTGAATCAGGGTGGCCGATCGCCAGGCCTGCCTTCCTCCCTTCCCTGTCTCCGCAGAGAGTTCTGTGGCCTGGAAGTGCCCCCCACCTTGTCCATCTCTCGCTCCCCCTATGGTGAGCCCCTGAGTAATGAAGCCCTTGCTCCCGCACCCTCCCCCAGGAACATTGACACCCTCATCGTGGACGTCTACCCTGTGCTGGACACACCTGCCAAGCAAGTCCTTTGGCAGTTCATCCACCAGCTGCTGACTTACGAGGAGCAGGAGCTGTGCCGGGAGAAAATCGCGTGTTTCCTGGGCTACACGGCCGTGACAGGTAAGCAGCCTCTCCCGCTGCCCCGCCCACGAAGAGCCAGACACCTGTTCTCAGATCGCAGCCTACCTGGGCCTCTTCCACACACGGATGCACCCCTGTGTCATGCAGACACGTGCCCGACACACCCGGGCTGGTCGCACACTTGGCCCCGCGGATGCGCCTTGCCAGCTTGACCTTTTTTATTATTATTATTTCTTTTTTAATGTTTATTTGCTTTTGAGAGAGAGAGAGCGCTTGAGCAGGGGAGGCACAGAGAGAGAGGGAGACACAGAATCCGAAACAGGCTCCAGGCTCTGAACGTCAGCACAGAGCCCGACGTGGGGCTCGAACTCACAAATCCCAAGACCGTGACCTGAGCCAAAGTCGGACGCTTTACCGACTGAGCGACCCAGGTGCCCCTCAGCTTCACCCTTAAGTAACATCTGCAGTCTTATCTCAGACTTTATTTATTTTTTTTTTTCAACGTTTATTTATTTTTGGGACAGAGAGAGACAGAGCATGAACGGGCGAGGGGCAGAGAGAGAGGGAGACACAGAATCGGAAACAGGCTCCAGGCTCTGAGCCATCAGCCCAGAGCCCGACGCGGGGCTCGAACTCACGGACCGCAAGATCGTGACCTGGCTGAAGTCGGACGCTTAACCGACTGCGCCACCCAGGCGCCCCTTATCTCAGACTTTAGACACCCTGCCTGTCCGCCCGGAAGCCCAGGCTTCTCACCCACAACATGGGAGTGACCTCAGTGGCCGTGCATTGCACCTCAAGAAATGTGGCACAGACCAGGAAATTCGTGTGGTTGCTGTTTACAGAGCTGGAGAGTGAGCACACAATCAGGTCACACCTGGCTGGTGCGCCTCGATGCACACGGACACACACTAGGGCCTGCCGGATGATGTGTGGCCTCAGCTTCCCACAGCTGCCCATCTCTTACAGTGTCCCTCATGTGGCCATAAAGCCGCACCCATCATTTAGGCCAAACCCTGTGCCCATGCTCTACATACTCTGCACCTGCTAGGTCACAGCCTGCAGACCTGTGTGCTGGCCCTTGTGTGCCCACCATCCGTAGTCCTGGGGACCCACAACTTGCTGGGAGAGGCTCGAGGGTTTTAGCAAGAGGCTCGGAGCATAGGCTGAGCAGTAGGTGTACAATCTCTCTCCACTTGCTAAGCAGAGCCTGGGGTCACAGATCGGTGCACACAGCTGCTGCCTTCACCCCTCCTGGGAGGCCCCTGGGCTGAGAGGACAGGGGGCCCATCTCCTGTTCATGTCCCACAGCAGAGCCAGAGCCCGAGCTGGACCTGGAGCCTGAGCCCGAGCCTGAGCCCGAGCCGGTGCTGGAGCCCCAGCGACGCAGCTCCCTGAGGGCCTCCTCCATGTGCCGCCACAGTCTCCGGTCCCAGGGCCTGGAGGCCAGCCTCAGTTGCGGTGAGGCTCTGGGCGGGAAGGCGGGACTGGGTGTGAGGAACAGGGCTCCGTTTTCCCACCTGCAAAATGGGGTTGGTGAGATGAGAGATCCCGGAGAACGGGTTGAGCGGGGCTGAGCCATGGCTCTCGGGGGTCTGCAGGGCTTGCTAGTTCTTTCTCCATGGCTGCCCACTGGGCCTGGGCTGGAACCTGAGCCTTAGAGCTCAGAAGGGTCACTGGATGTCTCCACGGTGGACTCCACCCTCCCCGATTCCCCCAGCAGGTCCCGGTGACTGTCCCGAGATGCCTCTTCCTCTAATCCCAGGCGAGCGCCAGGCAGGCGACGGCACGTCCCTCCCTGAGACCCCCAATCCGAAGATGGTGAGACCTCACCACCCTCCTGGTGGTTCACTTGGCTGCTGGGAATAGGTAGCTCCTGGGGCTGGGGCAGATCCCTGCCTCCCAGACCACCCAGGCCTGGCCTCTGAGGCCATGTGAGGGCCTCACATGGGAGGGGAGGGTGGGTTGGACTCACCCTGGCCTCCTCTCCCCAAAGATGTCAGCCGTCTATGCGGAGCTCGAGTCCCGACTGAGCAGCAGTTTCAAAGGGAAGGTGGGGACCACGTCCAGATCCCGTGCCTCCCCGCCAGTGCCCAGCCCGGCAGGTGCAGCAGGTAGGGGCTCAGCCGGCTGGGGTTCCTGAAGGCAGCACTAGCTTCTGTCCACTGGGCTGTCTGTCTGGGTGTTTTCCCCATCTGAGGCACATCCTTCGAGCCTCCCCTTTGTTGCATGGCTCCATGACTGAGTTGTGGGGAACCTCAGTGGCCTCCATGGCAAAGGTCCATCAAGGTTAGGGTTGTCGCAGGTCTTCCCAGGTCCCCTCCAATCCTTACCCCTCCTATAGATTTAGAAGAGCCCAGGTCTTTCCCCTAAGGAGCCCTGAGTTAGCATGTGGCTGTTGGATAAACTATTAAGTGCATGCATTGCTCTGTGAATGGCCCAACTGAGAAGCTAGTTTCTCTGCAGTTCAGAAGGCAGGACACCAGGGCAGTGTTCCTGTCAGCCAAGGGCCTGTCGGGTGCGGGAGGTGCCTCATGATCCTTGGTCTCGGGCCCGGAGAAGGCCCATCTCCCCTTTGAATTGTGTTCGGTCAGTCCTAGGTGGGACCAAGATGAGCTGGGGTCTGGCCTGTCCTGGGGCTAAGTACTGTTCCCCCTCATCTACTCTGACCTTTGATTTCCCTTAGGGAAGGGCCTGGGGAGGCAGGGGCATCCAGGGTCTTCTTGTGCTGTGTCCAGAGAGGGAAAGGAAGGTACCCAGGGACACAGAGCCACCCTGCCCCGGGCCCCTCCCCTCCAGCCTGCACCTGGGACCCAGGTGCTGACTGAAGAGACCTCACACCTTATCCCCCACCCCAGGGCCCAGGACCCTGTCCAGCGTCTCGTGGCCCAGCGAGCGGCTCCTGCCCTCCCCCTGCTACTACCCACTGTGCTCAGGGGGCCTGGCCTCCCCCAGCAGCTCTGAGTCTCACCCCTACGCCAGCCTGGACAGCAGCAGGGCGCCCTCCCCACAGCCAGACCCCGGGCCCATCCGCTCCGACAGCCCCCCAAGTCCGGACCCTGCCCGCCCACCCAGCCGCAGGAAGCTCTTCACCTTCTCCCGCCCCATGCGCAGCCGGGATACTGACCGCTTCCTGGATGTGCTCAGTGAGCAGCTGGGCCCCCGGGTCACTGTCGTGGATGATTTCCTGAGCCCTGAGAATGACTATGAGGAGGTGAGCGTGCAAGCAGGTGTGGAGGGCGAGGGGCCCAGGTGTGCCATGGGGGTCTGGAAGGGGAAACAATATCCCTGGGCTCCCGCAAGAAGCCTGTTGCCCTTGGGAATCTGCCCCAGGCTACTCCCCTCCCTGCCCCGGTCCATCCCAGAATCTGTCCCAGGCTACCCCACCCCCTGGCTTGAGCTATCCCACCCTTTGACTCAAGCTATGACACCCCCCACTCAAGGCCACCCCATATACCTTATCTCGGGTTACCCCGTTCCTTTTCCCAGACTGTCCTATCCTTGTCCCCAGGCTATCCCACCCCCTGCCCCAGGCTATCCCACTCTCCCTCACCTTGCTCCGCCCTGGCAGATGAGCTTCCACGATGACCAGGGCAGCTTTGTGACCAACGAACGGAGCAGCGCTAGCGAGTGCATCAGCAGCAGTGAGGAAGGCAGCTCCCTGACCTACTCCTCCGTCTCCGACCACATCCCCCCACCCCCGCTCAGCCCCCCGCCTCCGCCACCTCTGCCCTTCCATGACCCTAAGCCCAGCTCCCGCATCCCCGACGGTCCTCGGGGCCCTGCTCAGACACTGGTCAAGCCCCTCACCCAACTCAGCCACCCAGTCCCTCCACCGCCCCCGCCACCCCTGCCCCCACCGGTGCCCTGTGCACCCCCCATGCTGTCCCGGGGCCTGGGCCACCGCCGAAGTGAGACCAGCCACATGAGCGTCAAGCGCCTACGGTGGGAGCAGGTGGAGAACTCGGAAGGCACCATCTGGGGTCAGGTAGGTGACCTGAGGCCTGGGGGTGCCCTGCACCAGGGGTAGGTGGCCTGGGCAGCGGTATTGAAGACAAGCCCCTGTCCAGTTTGTAGCCCCTGGCATTTCCCGCTTCCGTTTACTAGCATCGTGAACCCAGGACAGCTCTGGTGAGCGCACCCCCTGCAAAGAACACCCCCAAGCAAGGCCAGAGCTCTTGGCCACCTCCTTAAGCCCCCTCGGTTGGCTGCGGCCCCTTTGCAGTCCCTTCATCCGCCTGCCCCAATGCAGCTTGCTGGCTTCTGCAGGGGGAGTATTGCAGGTGTACGTTTGCAATGGACTTGAGGAGGCAGCGGCTCACCGCCTGATAACCTGGACGAGTTTGTGTCTCCCGCAGTCTCCTCTGGCCCCCACGTGTACCCCAGGGCCTGACGAGGGCTCTCCCTTCAGTAGCTCCCAGGGCAGCCCTTAGAGGGTGGGTGGGGTGGGCGGTGGCAGTGCGGTTGCCAGGGTAGGGCCTCACTGTGACGCCCTCTGCCTTGCAGCTCGGGGAAGATTCTGATTATGATAAGCTGAGTGATATGGTAAAATACCTCGATCTGGAGCTCCACTTCGGCACCCAGAAACCTGCTAGTGAGTGGCCCGAGGGCCCTGGGGGAACCCTCCACAAGCCCTCTCTGGAAGTCCACCTGCTGCCTTTTGTGGCATCCCGGGGCTTAGAGTCCCAGAGGCCTGCACCGACTGCCATTTGCTTACCGTGTCCCTGAGTTATTTAACTTCGCAGAGCCTCAGTTCTCCTGTCTCAAAGTGGAGATGACCGTAATAGCTGGCATTTATTGCATGCTTCCCAAATGCCAGACACCCTTGTTTCTAAATCAATCCCGTGATGACCCTATGAGACACGGACTGTGACCACCCTGGCTTCTTGATAAAGAAGCACAGAGAGGCTAGATAATATGCTTAAAGTCACAGAGCCAGAATCAGGTGACCAGGAGGCATCCATATCTAGGAGACTAGATGTCCCTTCTAGTCTCTCTGTCCCCTCTCCCCTCTCTGGGTATCTCCCTATAGGATTGTTGGGTGGGGTTCCAGGCAGCCAGGGGTATCATGTGTGACAGGTGGTTGCAGGATGGAAGACAAAGGCCTTTGTCCATCCAGGAAGCATCTGCAAGGTGAAGAGGTGGTTGGTTCACCTTACTTGGGCAGCTCAGTCCCAAGGGCCCCGGCGGGGGGAACGGGGAGGGGCGGGGAGGGGAGGGGCACCCACCACGCATGCTGAGTATGTTACACCTGAGTGGGAGACTGAGGAATGAAGGAACTGTGGACACCTGGAGCTGATTCAGTCACGGCCCTGTCAAGGGGTGTCTCGCCATTGGGTGCGGCCACACCCCTCCTGGGCCGTCCCACCAGCCTAGTGTCCTTCCGTTAAACCATTTTCCCTTCCAGAGCCGTTGCCCGGGCCCGAACCCTTCAGGAAGAAAGAAGTGGTGGAGATCCTGTCTCACAAGAAGGCCTACAACACCTGTGAGGGGTTCGGGGAGTCCCAGGGCTTATGGGGGACAGGAGGCGGCCCCGTCTCTGGGCCGCAGAGCTTTGGATCCGCGGGGGTGGATGACACATTAGTCCGTGGGGGTCCGACACCGGCTGGGTGAAAGCCCCCTCCTAGGTCAAGGAACCCACCCCGGCGCAGGTGCCGCGCTGGGCTCCACCCTCATTGGCCCCGCCCCCTCGTTGGCCCCACCTCTACAGGCCTCGGCTTCCGGGTTATGGCCCCGCCTCCAGCCGCATCCTCTACTCTCCCTCACGGGGTCTCCTCCCTCATTTTGGCACCACGCCCACAGACCCCACCCGAATCTAGGTCTAAGTCTTCGAGAACCATGTCCTCGCCTTTATTCGGCCTTGGGAAGAACCCTCTGCCTCTCCGGGCCGGCTCCTGCCCCGCCCAGTTCCTTGCCCCGCCCAGGCTCCACCCGGTAGCCCCGGGGAACTTAGGCGCCCCGCCCACCCTCCGCCCGGCCCCGCCCCCGGCTCACGCTCGCGGCCCGGCCCGCAGCCATCCTGCTGGCGCACCTGAAGCTGAGCCCCGCGGAGCTGCGGCAGGTGCTCATGAGCATGGAGCCCCGGCGCCTGGAGCCCGCGCACCTGGCGCAGCTGCTGCTCTTCGCGCCCGACGCCGACGAGGAGCAGCGCTACCAGGCCTTCCGCGAGGCGCCCGGCCGCCTCAGCGAGCCCGATCAGTTCGTCCTGCAGGTGCTGCGGCCGTGACCGCCGCCCGGGGTCGGGGGGTGCTGCCCGGCGGCCTCGGCCGCTTCCATCGGGGCTCACGCTGTAACCGGGGCTGCGTGACCCGCTCCCCTACCGCCACTGCGCTCGCGCCTCTGAGTCCCAGTTTTACACCTTTAATGGCTAGTTCCCACCCAGGGTTCAAGGTAGATGGGATTGTGCTTATTTTTGTGTGCTCATTTTGGGATTGTGCTTATTTTTCATGAGGGGAATGCCGGGCAGCCAGCTGACCCCCTCCCCAGGCTGCGGTGGGGCGGTGGGGCCCCTGGTGGGATGGGTGCAATCCTGGCGTTGACTTCGTGACAGATGCTGTCGGTTCCGGAATACAAAACCCGCTTGCGCAGTCTCCACTTCCAGGCCACCCTACAGGAGAAGACAGAAGAGATCCGGGGCAGCCTGGAGTGCTTGCGCCAAGCCTCCCTTGAGCTCAGGAACAGCCGGAAGCTCGCCAAGATCCTGGAGGTCAGGGCGCACCCACTCTCCGATCACTCCACCTGCCCCTTGGGGCTTCCAGTCTGGAGGCCCATCCTGATAGTGGTCTGGGGTGCGGGGTGAGCACCTGGGCAGGACCTGCCCACCTTTCTTTCCACAGTTTGTGTTGGCCATGGGCAACTATCTCAACGATGGACAGCCCAAAACTAACAAGACCACAGGCTTCAAGATCAACTTCCTGACGGAGGTGAGGGGACCAGTTGGCAGTAATGTATGAGCTTGCCCTACCGTATGGAGGCTGGGGAGGCCAGGCCCAACCCAAGTTGTGGCAGAGGGGAGGAGAGAATGTCATGGCCAAGGAGCGCCCTTCTCCCAGGAGGAAAAGCTGGCTGCCAGCAGGCCAGAATGTAATTGCAGTAAAGGATGGATGGGGGACCTTTTCCAAGCCAAGCCTCGGGATCTGGAAAAATGGAGGGTGGGGGGACAGGGAGGGAAGACTCCAAGAGGAAGGAGAGAATCTCACCTGGTAGCTTCTGTGTCCTTAATACCACCACCACTGTCAGGCCGTCCTACGCCTATAAGATCTAGGATCTGAGAAAGGACAGCTTGAATACCTGGTCTTCCCACTGTTTCTGGGACCTTTCCCCATGGTACCTTTGACTGTTTTAAAAGAGAAGAAGAAAAACTCCATTTGTAGATATGAATGTTTTAGGATGTCTGAAGCCCAGGAGGGCCACATATGGTTCCAGAAAATCACAAAGAAGGAAGACATGTGAATGGTATCCCACCACCGTCACCCAGGGGTCAGAAAATCTGGGGTTATATTTGCTGACAAGGCCTCACTGCCAAGGACAGAAAACCTGGTGGCCTTCTCTAGCCGATGGCTGTGGGCCTGGTTCCTGGGGGGCTGGAAGGATGTCTCAAAGATCTGGGCCAGGGAACCTCCAAACTCTTGAGGAGGCATCCCAGCAGAGCTTCAGAGGAAGAAATACTGGCAACTTTGGAGTAGCTGGGTGTCAAGGGCCAGGAATTGCTGTCACAGTCCAGGAGACATGGGGCCAAGGGTACCCAGCCCTGTGTGATCAGGTGTCTGATGGGGTCCTTGAAGAGTATGTCTGCTGGGCATCACTTGCAGCTGAACTCCACGAAGACTGTGGATGGGAAATCTACCTTCCTGCACATTCTTGCCAAATCGCTGAGCCAGCACTTCCCAGAACTCCTTGGCTTTGCTCAGGACCTGCCCACTGTGCCCCTGGCTGCCAAAGGTAGGCTGAGTGCATGGGTGGGGTGCCACTGTCCTGGGCTGGGAGGCCGGTGCTCGTGAGGCTCTGTTCCCTTCCCTACAGTGAATCAACGGGCCCTGACCAGTGACCTAGCTGACCTCCATGGCACCATCAGTGAGATACAGGCTGCTTGCCAGAGCACGCCCCCCTCCAGTGAGGACAAGTTTGCTGTGGTCATGACAGTATCCTCTGAGCAGCCGGTCCCAGCACCGGGATAGGGAGCTGTCTGTAGCCCCAGTGGCCACTGGGATCCGGGGGCCCTGGCAGAGGGTCCATCCTGGTGATTTAGAATCCAAGCACGTACACCAAGTCTGCATAACTGAAGAGGAGTTCTTTTGACTGTCCAAAAGCCACTGCCTCGCCCCATCTGTCCTTCTGGGCCATAGAGCCCAGATTTAAGTCACAGGCAGTCAGGAGAGGGGGACATTGCCACAGAGTACAGATAGCGGCAAATGCTACAGAAAAAAAAAGAGAGAGAGAGAGAGATCAAAGCCTAGAGAGTGACAGGGAGATACTATCAGCGGGTGTTTGGGGAGGAAGGGGTCACGGCATCTGAGAAGAGCCCACCGGGGAGACAGGGCTACCCTACAGAGAAGACAAGTGGAAGGCCGCGAGGCTGACTGGCTGTGGTGGGCTTCAGGGCCAGCTGAGAGGGCAGTGTGCAAAGGGACTGGAGCCCCCCAAACAAGCATGGCTCCTGGCTGAGCACAGGGCATGTGGCAGCTAGGCTCAGCCTGGGGTCACTGCCCGAGAACCTGAGGATACCTGGCAGTTTCCTTAACGGGGCAATCAGTCCTTCCTAGAGACGGCCCAGCCGGTGCTGCGGGCCCTGGACGCGCTCCAGCGGGAGGCCACCGAGGAGCTGGGCAGGGCGCTGGCCTTCTTCGGTGAGGATTCCAAAGCCACCACCTCTGAGGCCTTCTTCGGCATCTTTGCAGAGTTCATGAGCAAGTTTGAGGTGAGCTGTGATGAGAGGCCGAAGAGGCCTCTTAGAAGTCCCTCTGGAGGTCAAATGAGGCCTCCATGAAGCCCAGATTGGGAAAGGGCCCCCCGCAAATGTGACAGGACCCCCATGGGGCCAATAGGTCCCTTCCCTGGCTCCCTGGGTGGGGAGATGAGGCAGGGCGGGGAGTCAAGGGTCCCTGGACCACTGACCAGCCCCTCCCCATGTGCCCCTTCCTCCCCAGCGAGCACTCAGTGACTTGGAAGCTGGGGACGGCCCACGCAGCTCAGGGATGGTTTCGCCCCTGGCCTGGTGACCTCCGGAGCTCATCTTGCCCAAGGCCCAGCCCAGTGGCCTGGAGCAGCCCCGAGTGGCCTGGGTGCGGGAGGTGGGGCCCGGCCTCCCCGCATCTCCAGCTACCTCAGCTGTCGGGCTCTGGGTGCCGGGAAGGTTCAGGGTCATCCAGGCTTCCCTCTGTGGGCCTCGGCCCCCGCTCCAAACAAGCACTGGGACATGGGGCAGAGCGGAGGCGCCAACTCCCCGAGGAGCGTGAAACATGGCTGCCCGCAGGCGTGCTCATAATGGGGGGCCTGGCTTTGCCCCTCCTGGCTCCGAGGGGCCTTCAAAGCAGCCGCTGGCTGTACGCACCCTCAGGACTCTGGTCTGGTCCCGGGGAAGGGTTTGTGGGTGGGGGTGGGGGCCGTGACCAGCAAGTGGATTGTGAGGTGGCCCCCAGTCTGGGGCAGTGTCTGCCATCTGCCCCTCAGAGCTCGGCCAGAGCACACTCTGCCCCAAGCGAGGACGTCGGAACCTTCTTTCCAAGTCTGCTCCCAGTGGGCTGAAGGGACACCCTTGCAAAACACACACCCTGGACCCCAGAGAAGGTGACAGATGCCCTTGAACATGCCATGCCAATGGGCACGATAGGCCTGTGGTCCCTCACCCAGCCCCGGCCTCCTGGGACCGCTTGGAAGAAGGCAGGGAGGAAAGACACCCCCAGGTGCAGGGACCTGGGAGCCTGGGTCTCGGAAGCTGGAAAAACTGCAGTTGACCGCAGCCCAGCAGGGCAGGCAGGAGAGATGCTGGGCAGGGATAAGGGGGAGAACTGGGTTAGGAAGGCACGCCTCGTCAGATGGTAGAATGGAGGGTTTTTATCCGGCAGACAAATTTAAGTCCGGTTTGGAAGTGGCGAGTTTGAAGTGGGGCGTCTGAGAAGGGGATGGCGTGGCCAAGGTGGGGGCGGGGAGGACAGAGAGATGTTTCGGTTCTGGGTGAGCAGGATTTGGTGGCCGATTGCCTGGCTGGGTGGCAGTGACGTTCCCTGGAAGAGGTCACATGAGCAGAGCAGGTGTAGCGGTGGACGACACAGTGGGACATGCTGGGGCCCCCAGAGGCTGTTTCCCGTGTGTGCCTGGAGGCCCTCGTGAGGATGGGAGGAGAGGAGACAGTTTCCTGGATCCTAGGGACAGGGATGCTGTGGGTGGGAAGATGTGTTAACTTCTTTCATCCTTTCCTTGCTCCAGTGGGCAGTTTCCGGCATCAGGCAGATTCCTCTTTCCTTAACTTTCTTCCAGAGAAGTCCGAAATGCACTTTAAACCTGTCTCTTGGATTCTTTTTCTCTCCCTACAACCAAATGGCTAATGTTGCTCTCGGATGGGATTTGGGACCCATTCCGTTCCTCCCAGTCTCCCACAGACTGCTCTTTGAAGCCACGTATGTTCTGTGCTTGTTCTCCACGCACAGCCACCGTGTAAAAATGGCTAAATCGAAGCGTGCAATTCAGCGGGGGTAGGGAGAGAGGTTCGGATGTGCCTAGTGGTGCACATTGGTCCCCAGCAGCTCAAGCTAGATAATTCCAGGAATTACCAAGGCCCATGTCTCCGAGAAACATGTCAGACACTTAAAATCCCTGTGTGAGATCCACAGACACGATAGACTCCACCAGGCTGTAAGCAGACGTGATCCCCAAAGTAAATCCAGCCCCGTGCCGGGGGGCACGGGTTGGCAAGCCAAGCACTAGCTCTGTTTTCTCTCTAAATGCCTTGTATCGGGAACCTACTTTGCCACACAATGCCCTGTAACAGACAGTCCCAAATCTCAGTGGCTTAAAACAGCAGCCATCTACTGCTCATGAGTCTGCGGGTCACCTGGGCAGTTCTGACCTGAGCCGGGCTCAGTGGACTCACTCATGTGTGGACAGTCATCTGTGAGTCAGCTAGACAGCTTTACTAGCCATGCAGGGCTCCCTCCCGTGTCTGGGGCTGTGGCTGGGACAGCTGGGACGGCTTCGCATGGCCTCTCATCCCCCAGCTAGATAGCCAGGACCGTTCACGTGGTGGAGGCAGGGGTCCAAGGGAACCAGAGTCACCACCCCGCAGTCTATGTCAAGTGACAAAGGCCAGCCCACGTTCTAGGGAGGGAAAATAGGCTCCACTCTTGACGAGAGATGATGCTAAGTCACGTTGCGGAGGGTGTGGATTCAGGACAGGTGGAGAAGCAGGGCCATTTTCTGAATCAGTCTACCACCTGGCCGCTTGGCCTGACATCTTGGCACAGATCCCAGCCTCCTTAAATCCTCAGTGGCCTCGGTCCCGCCCGGACCCAGCACAGCTCTGGGTGGCCACCTCCTTATGTCCTCCAGGTGGCATGCGTCCTTCTCTCTCTCACCCAGTCACCTGACTCCACTGGGTCCAGGGGGCAGCAATGGTCTGTGCCTGCCTAGCAACCAGTCTCCCTTCTGCTGGGAACAGCACCCTGTGTTTCCTTTGGGAAATTATCTCTTCCCTACTCACAGGCCCTGAGCAGTGCTGACTGAACAAGGATGATCCCGTGACTCTGGCTGGCTGACTTAGAGTCCAGTTAAGACTCGTGTTAGCACTGTTTGGAAAGGGAGCTCCCTCTTTTCTGGGTGAATTGTTGGATACATAGAGGGGAGAAGCCCGGAGGGGGCTCTCAGGACCACCACACGGAGAACACCTGCCTGGGTATGGGGCTAATACAGGGAAGAAGAGGAGAGCAGACTACTCAATACATCTCTTTTGTCCCTGGATCCAACCATGCCTGAAGCAGACTTCTGGACTTGTCAGTTTCTGAGCCAACAAATTCTCCCCCTCCATTTGTAAACTTTTAAAATTTATTTTAAGTTTTTGGCTTAGGCTGGTTTGAATGCGTTTCTGTCACTTGCAACACTAAGAGGGTTGAATAATACACCCATCCACAGATGGTTATAGATGTTCAGTCTTTTACCATTCTCAGCAAGAGCTCTTCATTCATAAATGCATTCGCCAATACTTTTTGACTGCCTACTATGTGCCAGACACCATGCTGAGTGCAAACATCTTTATGGGTCAGCCTCTCCGAGTTTGGTTTTCTGGGGTTATACTTCATGGTGATTCTACACCCGAATCAGTACAAAGCCCTATATGTGAGCCAATATGTGCGCCATACC